AGCTGTAGTAAGTTCATTGGCAATAGTTTTTTTCTTTTGTTTTCTTTTTTAAAAAAATCCTGGAAATGGTGAAAGACACATTGTCATTACAAAGAAACTGATGATAATATTAAAATCTGAGAATTCTGGAAGTGGAATCTCAGGAAAAAACCTTTCCAGTTAATATCAAATCCATACTCTTCTGCTGGACTTGAAAGCCTGCAAATTGTTTAACATATTTGTCTCCTTTTTCCTTCCATTTCATGCCTGCTGCCTTATCCAGTCGCATTTCCTGCATCTTTTATGAACATCACTGCAACCAGGCCATACTCTTCCTCATTAGTCTTTGAACATTTGCAGTCCTCTTCTAACTCTATTCAAGTTCTTCTTCATATCTAAAATGAATGTGTAACCCAGTAAGCATATATGAATTGACATTTTTTCTTAAAAATGGGATGCAAGACTTGAAAGTGAAAACATGATTTTTTGCACTTAAAATGTAAGGTTAGGAATAATATAGACATTTTGCAAGTCCCTGTATTTGACTTCCTATCATTGTAGCTCATATCCCTTCTGTTGTATGTGACACATCTGTGCTTGTTTGGAGACCCACAATCATTGCTACAGGGATCCAATATCAAAATAGAAATGTAGTATCCAGAATAAACACCAAAAGGAATGAGAGGACCAAACATTATCACAAGTAGAGGACAGAGGGAGGATGGATTGAAATTTGACGAATTTGAGCAATTTAATACTTAGGTACCAGGTGTTAGAGTAGTGCTTCTTTTTCTGGCCTTGCTGGGTGGATAGGGAAGGATAGGATGGAATTTTTTGTTTTTTATTAAAGACTTGACAGATATCAAAATTTCATTTTAAAGGAATATTTAAAGAGAATCTATTATGCTACAATTTGCTATTAAATGAGCATGAGAAACTGAGAGGAAAACTATTCCCATGGCACAAACACAAACCAAAAAAGATATATTATGTTTAAACAGTAACTCAGTTTCTACAGCTAGCCCTTTTTCCTCATGCCAATTTTATAGAAAGGCTGCACTGTAATTGTCAAGAGAAATGAATCATAATGTTGTGGTGAACTGGCTAGAAATACTTGGTCATACAATCTTTATTCAGCTTCTTTGTGGTAAATAGAGATAGCCGTCAAGAAGTGTGATAAATACAGTATAATTGCTGGAGTAACCATAACAAACAAAATAAAGAGATATGGTTAAAAAAAAATAGAGAAATTAAAATGCAATACTAAAAAGTACTTGATTTCTTTCTTTCTTTTTTTTACAAAAAAAAAGGCATGTGTAATAAAAAAAATGACAATTGGAAAGCATGTAGTGAAATGGTAGACTCTAAGTCCATCCATGGCCATAGTTATATTAGATGTAGATGAACTAAACTAAAAGCAGAGAATGTCTGACAGTATAAAAACTCAAGACCCACATTGCAGAAACACAGATAAAACTGGAGACCATCATGTTAAGTGAAATAAGCTAGGCACAGAAAGACAAATACCAAATGATCTCACTCAAATGTGGAATTAAAAAAAAAAAAAGGCGGTCCTCATAGAAATAGAGAGTAGAATAACGGTTACCACAGGCGGGAAAGGAAGAGCTGTGAAAGGAAGAGGTGGATTAATAGGTACAAAGTTACAGGCAGTTGATAGGAAGAATAAGTTCAGGTGTTCTAGGCTGGCTAGAGCTAATAATATTATAATTGTATATTTCTAAATAGCTAGAAATGATTGTAATCACCATAAAGAAAAGATAAATGTTCAGGTGATAGATATGCTATCAACCCTAAATGAGTTATTGTGCCACATACGCATATATTGAGACAACACATTGTACCCCACAAATATGTACAATTAAATTTTAAAATAAAAAAAGACCAAAAATAAGTTTGACATATGAGAACATTAGACATTTTCCCACAATTTTACTTCAAGGCAATAATAATAATTATTATTGTAATTATAATAAATTCTCAGATTAAATTTTGCCACACATACAGTTATCAACTAAATATTTACCAGTAAGTAAGCATAAAATAATTCATGATCCTTCCTATAAGTGATGAAATTCCAAGCTCTTCATCCTTTTGGGTATACCAGTCACCACCTCATGTAAAAGGTTCACATTTGGGAAATGTGAGGTTCCTGAAGTAGGAATGATGATTCTTCCTGGCAGCAAGCAACCAAAATTGTCCACAGTCCACAGTTGGACATAGAACCACTTGAAGATTTAACATAAGGTATCTTATGTAAGAGTAAATAGGCCTTATGGGATTTTTATACCTTGTTCATAAAATGGTAGGGAATATCTCTAAAATATTTCAGCCAATCAGTATACCTTGAGTACCTTTAATTTCACTCATAAGAGCTCATATGCAGTATTCATCGAGCTAGTTTACATGCTTTATTTTAACGAATAACCACAGATTTTTTGTCATTCAGTATCCTAATTAGTAAATCAGTTATTGATTGAAGTATGAATAACAAAAGTGCCTATGTTAGCTCCCTCAGTAGTATGGATTTTTTATCCCATCAAACTGCTCCTGGTCTGTGCATTCCTGATTAGATGCTAGAAACACCTAGGTTATAGCTCACCTTAACTAACACACATTTAGTCACATTGTATTTTAAAGTAAACTGCAGATATTATAACAAGTGATGTAACCATTTGACACATGGAATATCCTTTTTGGTTGCCAATTTGTAAATCATCATTTGGAGTTTTGAGATGAGTGGCAGAACTTCTTGATTACTTTATTCTTAAAAATTTTACCTCGTATTTTAATTTAAACTAAATATTCTTTCTTTCTAGATATCCTCTGTGACATTAAATATAATCCTTCCCCATTTCATAAGACTATCTATAATTGAAATGTTTTCTACCTCTGACACTTTTGCCTGTACTTGTATCTTCATTAATTATCTCATTGCTTAATAAAAATTGGAGGCTGGCTGGTTAGTTCAGTTGGTTATAGTGCAGCCTTATAATTCCAAGGTCACAGGTCCGGATCCCTGTACTGTCTAGCTGCCCCAAACAAGCAAACAAACAAACAACAGAATAAAAATTGAGAAATCATTCAGCTTGAATGTGTTCAGAAAAACTTTTTTTTTAATTTACCCTTCTCTATCCCCAATACATTTTTAAGGGTTCATAAAATAATGTACAAGAAATCTAGTGGCGCATATATGTCCTAAAACCTTGAAGAGCTTTGGAAAGTAAAATATGCTTTGATGGGCATTTGATTAACATTTGATCAAGGAATAATTTACCCACTAGGAAGAAATATTTTTTAATTGTTGTAATAATACAATATAAGAGCAAAGGCTGTATTATTTGGGCAAGTAACTTAACCTTTCTGAAGCCTGGTTTTCCTCATAAATAAAATGAAGGTAGTAATAGTAAGTACTTCACAAAGTTATTTTAAGGGTTAGTAAGATAATACATGTAAAATCCATAGCAAAGTACCCAGCACACAAGTTCTTAAAAATAGTAGTTATTATTAAGAAAAAATAAAAATCAAGAAAAGAGTTTCATGGGAGTGGTCAACGGTGATCTCCAAGAGATCAAGTAAAGCATGGGCTGCACAGAGTGAGAAATCAGCATGCAGGCTTTTCTGCTAGAGTATGATGTATATGTACCTTAAAAACCACTCATTCAGCAAAATTGTATAATAAAAATAATGGGGCTTGTGGGGGAAAAATTAAGGTCACTTGATTTGAGCAGAACACTCAAAATCTATGCAGTTTTGTCATTGTTGTTAGGTTTCTAGTTACAGTCCTAATAAAAATACTAGCTCCATTAATTTTCCAGCAACACTTGCAACCCCACATCATAGTCAACTGACCATTTTCATCATACTTCCTCTCAAAAGAAGGAGATGTGAATTTTGAATGTATTTGATTCCAATAGTTTTATCAAAATTAAAAATGTGATTCAAGATACAGGAAGAAATGTTTTCACAACTTCTTCAGCAAAGAGCTTAACTTTTGAAAGGTATAGAGTTCTCGACTTTTTGACACCACTAAACAGGCTCCTATTTGTGCTAAAATAATCAACTTATGCAGGATTTTCAGCCCCCATCCCTTCTTCTTTAGACCTTTGTACATTGCTAAGACTTTCTCTTTAATTGGGATGAAAGCTTGCCCGTGATCACTTTTAATTGTTACCATGCTGGAAAGAAATCATATGAACCAACAGGACATTCTATAGTCCAAATTGTATTGATATCATTGCTTTACCAATAGCAAAGGACCCCTTTTCTTTAGAGAAGTATGTAATTATAGTGGAATATATTGTGTATTGGATGAATATTAGAATATTTATTCAAATATCCTGAACTCTAAGCATTTGTAGCTAAGTTGCTAATAGAGAATAAAGGAACATAAATCAAGCATGTTTCTATAGTTGCTTCTGTCTCATATGTATCAACACTTCGAGGCATAATTTAATGGTTTAGTCACATTAGAGACATGCGTTACTATTCTCTTACATTTTTCTTGTACTTATTTCCCACACTTGGCATAAAAGTGTGTGAAATTTTCTCTGACTCCCTAATGAAAGTACCCATTTCTGCTGAAAATTATTGTTTAATATCAACTTGATTCATATCATTTCTATGGTAGTTTTTTTTTTTCTTTCCAGACACCTTTTGGTGGTACCTCCAAAACCTCAGTCCATTTCTAGCACTGAGAGATTAAACTGTGCCAATCAATGTTATTTGGGAAGATTGTTGCCTAAGAAAGGCAAAGACCATTTTGATCAAATTTTTCCATGTATACAATATATGTAATATTTTATGTTGGTAATAAATTACCATCTAATTGGCTCACTTCACCAAATCTGCATAAATGTGTGAAAGAATAGTTTTGCTATATTTTAATTTTGTCACTTTATGTCAGTGCTGAAGCAGGAAGTTGATCCTTTGCTCACAAATTACATGCATAATTATGTTGGGTCACATTCTTATTTTATTTTAGCTACTTTAAGAAAAGATGATTCCATTCTTTCAAGTCCTGATGTCACTGATATTGCACCAAGTAGAAAGAGGAGGCAGCGAATGCAAAAAAATCTTGGGACAGAACCGAAAATGGCTTCTCAGGAGCATCAGCTTCAAGAAAAGAAAAAGTAAGTCATTTTATTCTTTGCTAAATAGCAGGATGACATTTTTAAAAAATCAGTATGTATTCTTAAAAATTATATTTTATCTGTATTAAAGTTATTTTTAGAACAAAAATTATGATTTTTGAAATTGTAAAATGTTTGAATCAGTATATTTTCTCTGGTATTTGATTAATTCTTATTAATGTTTAAAGCAGAAATGCTAAAAAATACAAGCAAAATCTTTTGTGTGTGTGTGTTTTTTATAGGTTAATTAGAAATGGCATGTAGGATACTAAAAATATTAGAATCCAGCTTTTATTCAGTAAAGTGTTTAAATGTAATTTACTGTTTCAAAAGACCCAAAATTAAAATTAGCCACTTGATTTGGTTATGCCTGGTATTTTTTTCAAGTAAAATGTCTTTCTACTTTTCTGTTTATTTCTATTAAATTTTGGCATCACATATTTTATTTTTACATTTTTTTGCCCTTTGGTTTAGACTACCCTTCATCAATTTACACCCCAATTTAGTTATGAGTTGAGAAGTTGGAATAATTAACATTTTATGACAGCAAAACAATGAGCATTTATAAAGAATATTATTAGTTGAATCCAATGAATGTGCAAATTATTTGTATTATGTTTGGGTATGTGTATATATGCTCTGAGAATTTTTTTTCCCCTAAATTTTTTGTTAATTTAGTAAAGTTATTGAAAAATGGCCATTAGGTAGATGATATTATAGTCCAGTGGCTTTCAAAATATGGAACGAGGACAACTTGGGGGTCTCTGAGGCTCTTTGTGGGGTTCCAAAAGGTACTCCCTTTTTCAGTTCCATACCTTCATGAGGATGGATTTTCTTCAGATCCTTCAATTAAAAATCATGTCACAGCGGATTGACTGCAGGAGCTAATGAAAATCTGACTGTTTTCAATCAAGCCAGCCATCAAACAGATTTGCAAAAGTATAAAACAATGTCCTGACAAGATTTTTTTGTTTGGAAAATATAATGATGTTTTATGAAGAATATGTTATTCATGTTATACACTGGATTTGTGTTATTTTTAAATGAATTAATATTTTGAAATTTTCTCAGTTTTAATTTTGAATGTGGCAAATATAATCCACCTAAACAAAAATATGCACTCAAAACTCTGAGACCCCGTAGAATTTTGAAAATGTAAAGGGGTCCTGAGAGCAAAGAGTTTTGGAATTCTGTTATAGACAATGAGGATGGAAAGGCCAAGGCACGATCCATGCCTTCAGGAAACTGGCAGCCCAACAGGAGGGAGTTGTAGTTTCTAGCATAATAGTAAGTATTGCACAGTTAACAGTGAGATTATTTTGTCTGTTCATCAGTAGGTTTTTATTCTCTCCACAAATGGCCTGATCTATTTGTACTTAAAATGCCATGTATACTATGCTGCGTTGCTTATGTCTTCAGACAATATGTGCAAAAAACCCAGTGTGCACTAAGCTCTTTCTGGTTTGTATTTATCTTCCTAATTTATTTGTTAACTCATACCCCTTGATAGAGTTCATAGAGTTTAAGGCATACTATTATCTCTGTTACACATGAATCAAAAATATTTACAATTGACAAACATTAGAAAAGCCAAATTATTCCTATACATTAATATGAGAAAGAATAAAATTACAAACAATTTCAAATATTTAGAAAACTCAGTACTTCCTTCAGTCCATCGGTAAACAAGTGAGTAATGAGCATCTGTTATGTGCCAGGGACAATACTGAATTCTGAGGATTCGGGGGAGTAGAAAATGGACAAGCCTCTGTCCTCATGGAACTTTTGGTCTAATTGTTTTGTCTGATAAAGATTTCAGAATGTGGAGTAAGAAAAAATATTGTATGTTGGTTTTCTGTTAGACCTGCATCTTAGGTCTTTTCACTGTATGTGTGAACTAAATGCAAGGTTTTGAGGTAACTAACATTTTCCTCATACACTGTATTGTTTAAACAGGAATCTGTCATGAAAGAAGTTTAGCTTTTACTCAAGCTTGAGTATTTTTATTTTCTTTTTAATAAGGGCAACGTGTTTGTTTCTACAAGTATACATACAATTAGTATTATGTTCCTTTTCTTTTCTACATTTAGATGATCGTGTCAATGTTTATTTTGTATACTTTCACCACTTTAAATGTTGATGTAAATCATATCAGCTTGTTTGAATTGTCTGCTAATTATATTATTGTAGAACTTTTAATCAATACTGCCCCTAAGTAAAAATGAAAAACATGTGTTAATGCTAGGAAGAATTTTAAAGATTAAAGGAAATTTAGATTAGCATGTGTCAATCAGAAGTTAAGGGGTTGATACCCTTTGCCCAAATGAAACAAAAAGTCAAATTATATATTTTGTTTCTATTTTTTATACTTTAGGACTTTTTTTTTTCATTTTGAATACAGAAGACTGAAATTTTATTGCTCTTAAAATTTTAAAATATTAGTTCTACTTTCCCAATTCTTTTCGTCAAAAAAAATTAGAAGTTTCTACAATACAGAAACAAGCCCTTAGCTCTAAAAAACCTTAGAATAAGAAATTCTCAAATACTGATTAATCCTTATTTTATGTTTTTAAATTAATACTACTACCTCTTTTCCTTCTTTCCTAAGCACTTTTTTTCCTCTGATAACTTCTCATCACCATCTGCATCATTAGGTTAATATACTCTAGCTGTAGCCTCCCAAACAAATGTAGATATTGTTAGTTTGCTATTTATGGGTGAAAAGACATTGGCCCCTACCTCTAAACTTCACAGTTCCGTTGACTTTTCTTTAACAAATTCTATTGCCTTCAGTCCCTTCAGACATTCCCATTGGGCATCTTACATAGTTTTTTCTCTATTTGGCTTCTCCTGGCTTCTCCAGCTCTGCATCTTAAAAACAAACGTTCAGAAAGGGGTGATCACAGGTACTCTTGCTTAATTTCTTTTTTCTGTCTGCAGGATGTTGTGCGTGTCATTTCACCCATCCAGGAGTTAGTTTTTTCATCTATAAATGAATGGATTAAACTAGATGATGTGTAAGATCTCTCCCAATATTCATAATTCTATTATGCCTTTTATTCACTACTTTCAAAACCTGAATATGACTTGCAATAAATTACTTACACATTTATTAGCTATTATCAATTAAAATTCATGAAGCAATTAAAAATATAAAATATCTATCCATGAGAAAATTATTCATTTTTTAAATTTATGTACTTATAGGTATTTTACAATGTAAAATTTTTAGTACTTTTAAAATACCATAGGTTATTTTGTATTCTTAAAAAAACTAAATACTATTTAGTAAAACAAAGTCATAGTAATTTTTAAGTTTTCTTGAACATTTATTGTGATACTATGTCATTGGTCTAGTGACAGGTATAGGAGTGGCGAGAGATACAAAGATAAGTTAGAATTATGGTAAGTGCTTTATATGTAATCTCTGATTTAAGTCTCATACAAACCCTGCAAGGTAGGTATTAATTTATTCTAACAGATGAAAAACAACCAAACCTCAGAAAGATAGTCATTTTTCCACAATAGCACAGCGTGTTTTATTTCAAAGTCCGTACTTGGTCCACTACCTCAAGAGGATTTATAATCTTTTGAGAGACAGAGATATACACAAATAATGTTATGATTGCAAGAACAGAGTCATGGGAGTACACCAGCCATAAAGTTTTAAATTGGAATCATTGGAATTATGTTCCACATTTTAAAATATGTATCATAAATGTGAATCGATTTAGGTTATTTTATTTGAATGTAAGAACCACTTTTAATCTTCGTTAGAGAGGTATACTGAGAACTAATTGGTGGGATCTCAAATTCTATCTCAACAGATGTGTCTATATTAGAAAGTCACAATGTGTTACTTGTATATGATATTTAATTGTTGTTAATAGTTTAAAAGTATAATAAACTTTTTCTTCTGAAAGAAAACTAGTTCAACCAGTTCCTTCTGTGTTGAGATGGCATTATAAAGTAGTAATTGTGATTTAGCAGCATTAGATAAAAAGTGTGTTATTTTTCAGCTGAGAGAAGTTAATCAATTTGTAAGTAAGCTTTCAAAGTATCAGGACAAATCATGTATATAAAATATAAAAGAAAATTTGTACTAAAGTTGTTTGCACCAATAAAAATACTGAATAGTGAAAAATGCAAAATAGTTTTCACAAGAGAATGTTTCTGAAAACTACTATAGAAATGTTGAATCATAATCTCTAAAATACTGTTAATTTATGCCACATTAAAGATGAAGAAGTGAGGTCAAGCCTTTTGTAAGTATATTTGTTTTTGGTAATAAGTATGCCTAAAATTTCAGGAATTGAGTTTAAACAAAAGAGTGAAGTGACATAATGATGACCCAGGTCTGTCTAATCTCTTTATTATGGCCTTTCTTAGCTCTTTTATGCATGCTTCCATGGTAAAAAGAAAACAAGTTTTCCCTCAAAACAGATGTAAAGTAACAGGCAAAGTAAAGGTGACCTCTCAAAGTGTCTGGGCTTTTAAATATGATTTAATTAGTGGATAGAAACCTCATAAGTAAGCAACTAAATATTATTCATACAGGAAAATTTAGATTATTTAGGTTCTATAAATAAATGTGAAAGTTATAGTGCAGATAATTTCTCAGCAGATTGTCAAAAATTATTTGGCAATCCAGCTTATAAAGAAAATTCCATCCTTATATGAAAATAATTATTCTTCAACCATATAAGAAAATTTAGAAATATTAACAAAAATTAGTAAGCTAAAAATGCACTTGTGATAGTCAGTTTTTATAATCAAATATTCCAGTGTGTTTTGGAACTTCTAAAAAAAATGCTACTTCTGATGCTTTAAAAATATTTTTTAACACAAGATAGATGTAATTTTCTGAATCTCTAAGTTTACTCTACAAAAATAATAATACTATCTTAAGTGGAAACTATTTACTATGGAAATATTGGCCCTATTCTGTTTAATAATGTTAAAAACTGTATTGTCTACAGAGTTTAAGTAACTTATCAAAC